CTGGCTTAAAACTAACAGTATTTTTATGCTTATGAGTTTCTTCATTTCATATTTTCATTCTTTCTTGTGTGTGGCGGGCGACAAACCTTGTACAAAATAGAGGTATACGCCGCCGAGCCACGCCGCCGCCGCCGCCGTTTTTTGTCATTCCTCACGCGCCGCCGCCGACTTACGAGAATACCGGCGCGGCGGCGGCGGCGGCGGCGGCGGCGTTCGGCGCCTAAGGAATTTTGTACAAAATTTTCATTATGTATGTACATTGAATACATCGTTTGAAGGAACTAAATACTACTTGTATAAAAACACAATTTTACGAAATGAAAATTACATTTTTAAATTAGTTTTTTTGCATAATTTGGGTCATTAGACAAGAATATGATCTTCTTTGTTTTTCCAAAAAGAGCGTAACCCAGAAAAAACATAGGTAACATATTTTTCGACGAAAGCGTTTATTACATTTAAATTAGGGTCGAATACTGGTAATCTAACGATTTTTTTCGGCAGTAGACAATTCTTTTCAATACTACAACAATACTACTTTTTATACACCTACTACACAACAAGAAAGTTATAACACAACAAAAACTTTAACGCCAATCTCTCAGAAAGCAGTTTTAATAGAAGCGGCCTCTTTGCATCTAACTCCTCAATTAGTGGAGATATAATAAGGACAAGTTGATTTTTCTATGTATTTTTATACCTTTCATGAGCATGAAATGGTATTATAACTTTGGTCCGATGTTTGTAAGTACCAGAATAAAAAGAGATAGACCCATTAAAATGTATACTTATATGATCAGAACGTCGAGCTGAGTCGATTTAGCCATGTCCGTCTGTCCGTCTGTCTGTCTGTTCGTCTGTTTGTATGCAATCTAGTCTCTTAGTTTTCGAGATATGCGGATAAAATTTGGTGGGTGGGCGTATTTTTATAATGTATTAATCATTTGTCGGAACCGGAAGAATCGGACCACTATAACATATAGCTCCCATACAACTGATTGTTCAGATATGAGATTTTTCGTTATAACTTCTCCATTTATGCGGCTAGGAAAATGAAATTTTGCATTACTTGCACCCATTATCAACAGAATACTTACAGTGAAAATTACAAAGATCGGGTCACTATAACCTATAGCTCCCATACAACTGATTGTTCAGATATAAAATTTTTCGTTATAACTCCTCCA